TTCTATTTAATTATTTTTACTTTTTAACATTAACAAAAATGTTAACCAAATATTAAATTCTCAAATATAAATTCAATTATCATTTTTTATAAATAAAATCATCTTCCATTATTTCAAAGATTGGTTACATGAAAATCCCCTTAGAGGCACTAAGTGTTGCCTCTCCAAACAGCAAATACATAAACTACAACAGAGATTACTAAAATATATAGTTTTAACATAAAATATATCAAATCTGTTAAAATTCCTAAGATATATACCATATGCAAATTCATAATTTTTAATTACTAAAATAATTATTTTATTATTAGAATTTTTATTTCTGTGAATTTTTTAAATTTAAAAATCATTTTTAAATTTATTTCTGTGAATTTAAATTTTTAATTATTAAATATTACTTTACCTTTTCCAAAAAAAAAAACCGTTTTTCATATAAATGTAAATTAGTGGATTTGATAGATTCAATATTTTGTAAAATTTTTTATTTTTTAAATAATAAACATATTGTCATTTAATATAAAATAAAATATTAATCAATAGTTACAAAAATATACAAAAATTGTAAGATATATATCATACACAAATTTATAAATTTTAAGTACTAAAACAATTGTTCTATTACTAATATTTTATTTGTATAATTTTCTTGAGATTAAAATCATCTTTTGATGTAAATGTGGATTTGATAGATTATTTATTCCATTTGTTTATAAAATGCTAATTTTAAATATTATTTCTTTCAATTTTTAGTTGGAGTTATTAAACGTAAATATGTATTATTTGTTTGGATTGTATATGGATACAAAATAAAAATTATTTTATTTCATTAAATGTCACAAGACACGAGATGGCTTAGTGGTTTGAAGTTGTGTTAAGAATTTCGGCATTAGGCATTAGGTGATCTGGGTTCGTATCATGCTATAATCAGCAACTAAATTTTTTTAATAGAAAGACGTGTATCAGTCCGTATCGATGCATTGTGGTTGATACAATGCAGTATGGACCGATATGCACCCGTATCAGTCTGATACGCGCGATTTACAGGATACGTTTCCATTCATAGTATGTCCTATATCACCCTGCACCGATACTGATACGATACACCCCGTATCAGACGTATCATATTGATATTTAAATCCTTGGTAGTGGGTATTTAGAGTTGTTTTAGGAGTTACAGTCCATATTTTAGTGTTTCTATGAGTTATTTATGGGTTTTTCTTAGTTTTAAAGCTATTTGATATTGTTTATGGTCAGTTTCCTGATTGAAATTAGTCTACAAATGGAGACTCAACCCCCTATAGTGAGCCTATAATTTTTTTCTTGTGATAAAATAAAACTTATTAAAATAAATAAGAAAGATACAAGGAAGGGAACCAGAAGTCACATGAGAGAAAAGGAAAAAAAATTATTGCAACTCCTACCCACTCCCCCAAACTAAAACCAGCCCAATAAAAGAGAGCAAAAAAATACACCACTCCAACCACTGGAGAAGCCAACGAAACACCAAACTCAAGCAAACAAAACCTCCAAACAACAAAACATAAAAAGAAACAACCCCTTTTAGAGAAATATAAAGAAAATCACATCCCAACATGAGCCTCCAAACTAGAACCCCAAACGACACAACAAGAACGAAACCTCTCTACTTCTTTAGTAATTTAATAGATTTCAATACTTTCTTATGTGGCCTGATTCCAAACAGACCCCCTTTTAACCTACCAAAAACTTTTAACACCAAAATATTTCGGTGCTTTTTCTGATTTCTGAATCATATAGCAAGAGTAATCTTCCTGGTTTCCAACTTTCCATCAAATTCTCAGACTTCTCATTGATCTTTCCAATTCCAATACCATGTTCTTCTCAAACAACTGATCTGCACCCCAGTCTTCACCCCTTGCAAAACCATCCCCTACAATTCCAACTGATCTCTGACCAACAAGATTGTCTTCAATTTCAAATATCTCATGTCATTAAACATCTCCTTACCTTTCTCCTATTAGAAATAATTTATAGACTCACTATAAACATCTCATGGATAATATCTTAATTTCTCATAGGATGTTTAACGGCATGAGAAAGAATAAAGGAAAGGAGGGAGCATGGCTTGCAAGATTGACATGGACAACGCCTACAATAAAATTTAATGGGAATTTATTTGTAAAACTCTCCTCAAACTAGGATTTCACAGTAAATGGGTTGACTAGGTCAGGGAATGTATTCCATCTGTTTCTTATCAGACTTTGATCAATGGATCTCCCACTAGTAGGTTCGGGCCATCCAGGGGTACAAGGCAAGGATACCCTTTGTCCCCCTACATTTTTGTTCTATGTAGTGAGATACTAACTAAACTAATTTCAAGGGAAGCTAAGAATAATCAGGAATCAGGATGCCTAGGGAGTAGGGCCTCAAAAAGAGGGCCTACAATTTCCCTGCTTCAATTTGCTGATGATTGTACCATTTTTTCTAAGACTTCTATTCCTGCAGCCCTTAAAATAAGGGAAATTATGGACAAATTTTCTAGGACCTCAAGTTTGGAGCCAAACTATAGGAAATCTACAATGAGGTGTTCAAGAAATATTCTAAGGAAATTACATAAGACTTTGGCCAAAGTCCCAAAAATCCCATTTGAGTCAAAAAAGGAGAAAATTTTAGGAAAAAAAATCTTATGGGATAATTCAGGTAAGAAGCTGTTTCCCCTTTGCACTCCACATAAGGAGGGTTGGGCCTAAAGAACCTTGAGTGGGTCAATGTTGCAAGCAATGCAAAGTTACACTAGAAAATTCCAACCTAGAACGAAAGGGTTCAAGTGGTTAAAAGCAAGTTTTGTGAATAGAACTTTTGGGCCGTCAAACCCATGAAGGGAGTCTTGTGGGTTTGGAGGGGTATCCTCCAAAATAAACCTCTTCTTAGTCAAGAGCTTGCATAGAATATTAGAAATGGGAACCAAATTAAGTTCTGATGTGACACGTAGATTGGTGATACCCCTCTTAAAAAATCTGCTTCAACTAGAGAATGTGGTAAATCCTGACCTTAGGGTGGCAGAGATATTAAATGAAAACAAAACTGATTGGGACCAAAGTATTATTCTCAATCTGGTTCCTCCTGAGATTTGGAACAAAATAAGAGCAATAGCAATTAGCAACCCTTGAGAATAACAAGGAAGATGAAATTGTGTGGAGAATTGATACTAAGGGAAAATGTACTGTGAAAATGGCTTATATCTAGGCCAGAAGCAGAATTCATGATAATGAGAAAATCATCAATGCGACTAAGAAAATTTGGAAATTATGCTCCCCTCCCCCTCCCAAGGTTAAATTCTTTCTGCATTTATTTCTTAATAACAAGATCCCCTCAAAGGTTATTTATGGAGGGGCGTATTAATGTTGACCTTGGCTGCCCATTTTGTGGTGAGGAAGAAGATTCGGATACCATCTTCCAAAGATGCCAGTTTACCTATCAAATTTGGTCAATTATTGACCCTCGAGTTCCCAAACCTGGGATTGGAAACCACTACTTTCTGAACCGGTGGCAGAGATTGGCCAAAAGAGAAAATAATCCTAGTAATGTCTACTTCAGCAAAAAGTGTCAGCTATTTTGTGGGGTATCTGGAAGAACAGAAATGGAATAACCTTTAATGGTAAGTTTAATCCTCCTGTGGTTATTGATAAAGCTGGAGAGTCAATGATTGAGTATATAAAGCATTGGTTCAAGTGAGCTCTGGAACATTTGTAACAATAAGAAGCAGTGGATTAGAGTGAAATGGAAAGCCCCCAATTATGATGCCATCAAAATCAATTTTCATGCATCTAGGAAGTTGAGTGGGGAATGTGCTATTGGGTGTATAGCTAGGGATTAGATGGGGAAATAGCTCAATGTCCTAGGAAAAAATAGTGAGCTGGCCATGATCAACATGGCAGAAGCCTGGGCTGCTTTCTTTGCACATAAAATTGCTGTCGATTATAGAGATGAGCTAATTGTGATAGAGGGGGACTCCAACTTAATCATTGATTACCTTAAAACTGAACCTCCATGGAACATCAAGGATGTCATAAGATTTGCAGAGAAGCTGAGCTTAAGGTCAAATATTGTCATGCCTCCAGAGAAGCTAACCAGGCTGCAGATTGGCTTGCCAACTGTGGCCATATGGTTTTTTTTTTCGATAAGTAAGAAAACTTTATTAATTCAGAAACTGAAATTGATACAAACAGCCCATGAAGAGGCACGAGCTGCAGCCTCTCCCAACAGGCTACATAGTTGAATAAAAAACAAATTACAGCTGAGCCCAATACATTCCTATTTGCCTCTTGCTTGGCTAAACAATCAACCAAAGCATTTGCTGGTCTCCCAACCCACTGTGTTGTTACAGACATCCAACTGTGGTGTGGCCATATGGTTGGGTCTGAAGATTTGTCTAGTTCTAGGTCTCTTTTCTATTTTTGCTTTTCTCATAATTGGGGAAGTGCTAACCCCCTGCCTTGTGTAGCCCCTCTTTCTTTTCTAACCAAAAAAAAAAATATCACACCAAAGGTTAGACACAAATTTTGATTTTTACACCAAGCTGGAATTCCGAATTCCTCAAACATAATAGGAATATACTAAACTCTAAACTAGAATTTTCTAATTACAGAATAAGCACCAGACCAATCTAGATGCATGCATATAAACAAGAATGCATGATGCACATGCTTTTATATTAATAAATGATAAACACCATGTATGTGTATCAATAGATTGATTTCCTAAAGAGAAACTGTTGTGTCATTCAAGTTTACACTGTCTCTCATTTGGTTAAAAGAATAATAACAACAACCAATAAAGAGCTGTTCACAGATACATGATAAATCTTATAGAGAAAGACTAACAATAACAGTAACAACAACAATAGTAATAGTGTTAGTGATATAAGAACCATGATGGTGACAATTATAACAATATAAAAGGAGAAAATGGATTGCATCATTAAATGCTGATAAGAAAATGAAAAGAGCATGAAAGAGCACCTGGAATCCATATATGGCCTAAGATCAATCACATCTCTGAAAATGACATAACCATTCAATTTACTCAAGCGGCCATGAGCATCTTGACTGAACCGTTTAAGGTGAATGGTGAGAATAGGTGGGGCCCTATTGATGAGAACCCTTTTAGTTGCATCCCTCTTGACCTTGAGATTTTCAGAATCCATTTCTTCATCATCACTGTCATCTGGTTCATGAACTCTACCCAATAACTGGAAAACCTGAGGTTCGGTTTTACTGGAATTGCATAACATACTAGTAGAATCATCCACACCACATGAATCAGTGATTTGATCCCCAAAAGTCACTTCAGTACTAGATTCAGACTGATCCAAAGTTAGTAATGGCTCTTGAGAAGTAAGACTCGATTCACCAATACATGTATCCCCTTGAGAAAATTTTGACTTGTTGACTAGACAATTTGACACAGGGTCTACCAACCCTGCACCCCTTTCCTTACTCATTTGACCATTTTCGCAATTGGTGCATTTTGGGTTTGAATAACCAGGTATCTCAAGGTCAAGACTTGCAGATTCAGCAGTGGAGGTGGAAACAGTATCACCTTCAAGCTTTCCATTACCTAACTGCCTGTATTTAGTAGGATGCATGGAATTCTCATCTGAACCCAATGGACAATTATTTAACCTTCTTATTTCATCTGCATTTGCCCTGGTCTTTGGTGTGGTTTGTTGGTAGTCATTTTTATATTTCCTCCTTTGGCTTCGCAAGATCTTCGAACACCTCTCACAATGCCAAGCATGCTCATTAGATAGAATCTCAGGTTTTGTAAAATGAGCCAAACAACTATCTATAGAGACTGGAGCATCTGTGTTATCAACTTCATCTGGACCAGAATCACTACTGTTTCCAGCTAAGAAACTTGTTTCTGTCACTTCACTTGCCTGGCACTGAAAATTCTTGTCACATAACCAGGATTCTGCATTAGAGACAGCAGGCATCTCAGGCTCATTAAATAGGTCACCCAAGCCATCAAATGTATCATATTCACAGCCTACAACAGATGTGGAGGGGTCACATTCTTTTCTAATCGTCTCCTCATTGTTTGAGTTATCATCCTTGTAGGGAAGTAACAGAACTTCAGAACCTTGAATCTGTAAAGGGGGCTCATCCTCACAGGTATTACTCTGAGAAGAAGCAAATTCCAGTTTTGATTCTCCATTTGGTGAACAAGCCCTACTATGTGAATCAGAGTTATTCTGTAGCCTGCTGCTTGGGGTCAGTTGCTTGTTTTCATAATCTTCAACGACTGAGATATCATAGTTTTGTGAAACTAAATCCTGGTCACTAGGTTCTTTAATTGGGTCAATGTAATCCAACCATGAAAGCTGATCCAAGGAAGGAACTGTTTGCTCTGCAGAATTCTGAAAGATTTGCTTCTCTTCAGCATCTTGAATAGATGGGACATCAAAATTTTGTGAAACCAAATCAAAGTCATTAGACACTTCACCTGCTCCCGCATAATCTAACCATGTAATATCATCAACTAAAGCATCCATCTGTTTTGCAACAGGCACACTAGATTGTACCAGGCAAGATGACCCACTGCTTTCTGATGGGCCTGGCTCACTTTGAACCAATGGAGGGGTGGTATTAGTATTGCCCTTTAGGCGAGCCCTTCCACCTTTCTTAATAGGAAGCTTTGTTTTTCTTGGACGGGAGAATAGGGGTGCTTTATTAGATGGAGGTTTTTTAGTTGGGACTGGCAGTGAAAGATCTAGGAAGGGTTCAAAAACAACCGAGGAATGCCCACATTCTACACAGCAAACAGTACTAGAGAGTTGGCCTCCAAATATCATATCCACAAAAGTAGAACCCTGATTTGAAGTCATCCCATCATTTCCAGTAGAACTGAGTAATTTTCTTGCACTCAATTCCTCAGTACATAGGCCATCGAGTAAGAAATGGAGTAGCTCATGGCTGTCTTGTTGCTGATATCCCCTAAATTGGGGGGATTTCGAACAAATGCATCCAAACAAGGCTTTTGGGTTCAACCCATTCTTTGAGTCCACCTCCAGACTTGTTTCATTGATGAGCTTTTTCAATGCCATAGTCAGGGGCCCAAAAGATTGATCCAGCTTCATGAAGTAATCCCGCAACAAATCCATTGCAAATAGGTTCTGCATTACAGAATTAAAGAAGCAGGTATTCCCTAGGTTAACCAAGCCACAAACTGTATAACCACCACCACCCTTTCCATCTAAAACTTGTGATTCGACCTCACCTAGCTTCGTCTTGTCACCACCATCTAAAACTTGTGATCCACCTCCAAACCAAATGTCTTCAACATCAACTGAGGAGACTTCTGGTGATCGTCCCTTGATCAATTTCGTAATATCAGATAAGATATCTTTCTGTTCACCATTCTCTTCTGATTTTTCAACTGGAATTAGAAAATTACAGGGAAAACACCAGCCAAGATGAGGGTTATCCAACTGAATTACACAGGGGTGACGGGTAAATCTGAAGTGTTGAATGGCATGGCTTTGAGGTGTTGTCGGCAACCCAATCCCTCCACAAGCAAAATGCCCACAACTCAAACAGACCCAAATGGATTTATTAGTCTCCGACTTTACATCTGTAGGACCTCTTCCTTTCTTCTTCCCATGTTTACTTTTTTCCTTACCTGCCCTTCGGTCAGGAGCACCTTCCATGCAACCTTCACACCTAACAGGCTCCGATGACCCGATTTTTGAAGACACTTTCTCCAAATCAACCTCCCCAAGATGTGTGCATCCCTTTCTCTCTTTTACTACTGAATATTCATCATCCCTAGTCTCATCTGTTGGATTCGAGTGCTTGGGAATGGTTCGAGGAGAACCAGAAGAAACTCGTCTATCCCTATGTCCACTGTTTCGTGTCTTCTTTTTAATCTTTTTTCCCATTATTTCTTATACGAATCCAACAAAACCCCCCACAACGAAAAAAGAATTAAACCCAAACAAAAATCACCAAAAAATAAAAAAATAAAAAAATAAAAAAAAAACACTGCACTCAAATATCCCCTAACAGGTCCAAACAATCACAGTTGGACCGAAAATAATCAACCCAACACCGATTATCTGCTCAAATATACAGATATGCTGGAAACCCAACAACAAATTCGCGTTCTACGATGAACCCAGCTCGTATTTTTACAAATTACAAATCTCTGAACAATCAAAAACAAAGAAAAACCAAAAAGAAAAGTCCAATATAACTTAAAAACATGGGAGAAAAAATAAAGAACAAACAGTTAGTTACCTGAAAATCTACCCGAAATTGTTAAGGTGAAACTAGAATCCGAGTAGAAGAAGAAGACAGCAAGAGTGGCCAGCGCTTATTAAGGATATGCGCACCCTCTCTAGTCTCTCTACTCAAAGAGGGGAGACAGTGAGACAGACGAAAATGGAGATGTTAAAATTGCGGCAGTGTTCTTTGGGTAAAACTGTAATAACCGTGTAAAATGGACCCGATTATTGTTCTAGTCCGGATCCCTCTTGTCTGTTGTCTCCTGCCGGGCCTGCCCCCAGCACATGGCCCACATAAAAAGCTGTTTAGTGGATCTTAACCATCTATTTATTAAAATCTTGTTTGAAGTGTCAAATATATATGATGTATCTGACGGCCACCGCATGACTGGTTTTTTTATTATTTTTTCTTTTAATATTGTATTTATCTTGTGATTTATTATGTGTTTGGTTATAGATGAGGTGTTTATTATTTTATTATAAATTAATCATTAGAGGTGTAAATTGGATTGTACTGCCTGCATTGTGTTGGACCTGAGATTTTAAGTTCATGGACCGCACAACCCATTTTACACCTTTAAATTATTCATAATTTTGCCAATGCTTTTTCGTTATGTCCAAATTTTGTGAAACTAACCCTTAGATTTAAAAAAAAAAAAAGAAAAAAAAACTTTAGACTCCAAATAATTATGTCTAGAATGATAAGAATTCCATTAGTCTAAAGCATATATTTATTTTAGCACTTTCCTTATATCTAGTAAAGTCACTAAGATAACTTATAAAAATTTAAAGGAGAAGGTCAATAACAAGATGGTAGAATGGAAGTAAAAGACCTTGTCTTTGGTTAAAGGATTATTCTCATCAATTTGACCACAAATATGATGCCTCAATTCATTATGAAATCTTCAAAATTCCTAGTGATATCATGATGCCATTAACAAAAGTGGACCTTCTTATGGTCAAACAATAATAGTAAAAAGCCTAGAATAAAGCTTGCTCTTCTAAGAATTTGGGGTGGACTTTGTTTAAAAAGTCTCCATTGGGTCAGTGATGCTAGTCTTGGAAAGTTGGGATGAAAATTCTCAATGATAATAGAAATTTATGGGTTTAGGTTGTTCCAAGTAAATACTTGAAAGAGATAACTTTTGAAATGTAAAGGAAAAAAAGGTATTTCTTGGGCCTAGAATGGTATCTTGCAAGCTAGGTATCACCTTAAGAGGGGTATTGGTTAGAGAGTTGTGAATGRTAAATCCATCAACTTTTGGGATGATAGATGACTGGATGACTGGATGTTGAGTGGTTTGGTTACTTAAGAAAGTATAATGAGGTGTTCTTATTAAATGGGGGACAAAGAGAGCTTGATCGGGTGTCTAGCTAGTAAGATTTGGTGTTTAAAGCTTCTTCATAAACTTAAAATGTTTTTGTATTTTCTTCTCAATTATAGACTTCCCACAGATTTTTCTTTTTTTATCTAGAGGTTTCAATATTGATGGATTATGTGGTTTATGTGGTGAAGATAGGGGTGGCCACGAGCTGAGCTCTTCACGAGCTATTCGAGCTTGGCTTGGCTCGGTTTCAACTAAGCTTCGAGCCGAGCCCGAGCCCAATTTACAGGCTCAATTAATAAATGAGCCGAGCTTGAGCCTAATAGAACTCGACTCGTGAGGCTCGTGAACCGAGCTCGAATATATATATATATATATAATAAAAATATTATAATTTTTAATTATTATAATTCTTAATTTTTTAAATATAAAATTAAATATATTTTTATATATAATTTTTTATTTTTAAAAAACATTTTTCTCAAATTGAGCTCGAGCTTACGAGTTTTTTACTCGAGCTCAAGGTTCTAGCTCGAGCCTTGTGCTACCTTGGCGAGCCTAGCTCAAGCCTCATACTATTCGGCTCGGCCCGACTCGAATCCACCCCTAGGTGAAGACAAGCATATGGATCATATTTTTAAGAATTAATTGTTCCTTTGTTTTGGATCATAATCAAACACCACAGATTATCCAACATTAGCCAAAAAGAGTAGAAGACAATTGCTGGTATGCTTCAGTTGCTCAAAGAGGAATACGGATATAATATAGCGTTTATGATGTAATGCAGAGGCAAGACTCAGGAGAATTCCTAATGCTTCTACTACAACCCCAAGTTGCCTTGGTTTAGTAACTTTCTATTTTGATTTTTCATTTGTATAAGAATTTCGTTTTTACAAATGTTTTTTTCAATTCATTTATGGTTATTGATGATGCACAATCTGGCCGGTCTTAACTGTCGAAGATCTTGCCTCTGAACTGAGTAACAGGGACCTGAAACGGGAGGAGAAGAGAAGCTCCGGGGAGAACCCGGCGTAAGGGATCCGAAGCTCAACTTAGAGTCCTTCAAAGGCAAGAATAACCAGATAGCGCGAAAGTTAGCATACCTCGTCCCTGGGGGGGTAGAAGCCTTTTATAACCACCTCGCGCACTCACTTGCAGGCCTCCGTCAGGTCGGGCATGATTACTTCTGAACTC